CGGCCTTGTATCTATTTGCGCGGCCATGCTGCTCGTGCCCGTGCGTTTGAAATTCAGCAGGAAATTGTGGGCCAAGGTTTAAGTTCTTGAAAGGGACGTTCTGCCTCTATCATGAACGACTATTTTCCCCTATTGTCACTCCCACATGGATTTCTCGTATACTTCATGCTAGATAGTATCATTCTCCCCTCCAGATAATCTTCGTGTACGACCAATCTAGAATACTCCGTTCAGTGACACATTGACCTAATCTGCATCAAAATGTAGTATTGAGACACGTTGTACAACAACCTCGATATGTCACTACCTGCCAGTAACGTATAATGCTGAAGAACCTGGCGAATAGAGAATTCGCGGTTTGGTTCTTCAGAATAAGATAACATAAGTGGCGACGATTCGCGCCGTGAAATGACGAGGTATGGTTCGAAGACAGTAGGAGCTCGCCAATTGCGAAATGCATGCCTGATATTGAATCAATCTTATTTACAAAAGGACTACCCTTTCTACAAGCCTTCAAAGCTATGGCAGCCGTCAGTTTTGAGTATGTTTTTGTAACGCTGTGCATAATCGATTGTATGTTTGGGGGAGTCGATATCTAGTGCTTGAGAAGAGTTTGAGAGGACAAGTCGCTGAGAATCGCCAGCCAGCTGAATGCGTCGGTATGTAATGTCGAATATTGAACAGTGTGTACACGGGCGCCTGAGGAGCGAGCGCTGGCTCGGGAGATGGGAGCGACGCATGGCACATCTTGTTGTTCGTTCTCTTTGATCTGTCTGGTCGGCGACTTGGACTCACTCCTTTTCCGAGAGTGGCCATAGAATCTGTATACAAGTCTTCGCATTTGCCAGCGCGACTAGAACGTGTCCCTCCTTCAATATTTTCTTCCCGCTTTTCTCTATTCACGTTCTCATCTCACGGACCCGGTATCCCGTCATTCAACTGTCTGAACTTGCGGGATCATCGTTCTTCTCTATCTTATAATTCACATCTGCGAAATCCCGCTTGTAGGACATGTCTGCATCGGCGTCATCGTCATCCCCCACCCCCAGCGCAGGCCCCAGTACACGGCCATCCCTAGAGAACGGCAATGAACAGAACAGGTGAATACCTCCTGTGGCCCTAGTAAAATGTGCGGGATATCTCATATGCTGCATCGTCTCGCTAGTGTGGTTATCAAGGTCGGCATGTTGGGGGACTCGCAGATTGGGAAGACGAGTCTGATGGTGAAGTACGTGGAGGGTCACTTCGACGAGGATTACATTCAAACGTTGGGTAAGCATCATTAACCGCAATTTGATGTGCGGCGATCCTGAGCGAAACCCAGGTGTCAATTTCATGGAGAAGACTATTACTGTGCGGCGAACATCAATAACATTTTCATTATGGGATCTTGGCGGGCAGCGCGAGTTCGTGAATATGCTTCCGCTCGTCTGTAATGATGCCGTCGCCATCCTCTTCATGTTTGATTTGTCACGAAAGTCGACGCTCAATTCAGTGAAGGAATGGTATCGACAAGCACGCGGTTTCAACAAGGTAAGCATCTATGTTCCCATGCTATGCACATATCCTCGCCCTTTCTCGAATGCGCATTCCCCATGTTTGAATTTCATCTTGTGAACGAAGGGGTCTTGTTTTGCATGCCAGAGCGAATCAATTTCAATTCGTCCGTTCGGCGTAATCTCGGGCCCAGGTGTTGTTCACTCGGAACTATCCGATCGGAGATGAAAACAATTCTACGCAATATCTACGGATATGGACCTGTTGTGCTTCTGCTCATTATAGTCGATGCATCGGCGGATGGGAGAGGTGGACCAGGGGAAAGTTTTATGACACCCGACTAGAGTCGTGTTTCTTGACGCGCATGGGCGCCGGACTATTTTCACCGGGGTGTAATTGGCCTGAAGTCGGATGGTGGCATATTTCTTGCTTTGAGTAATTGGGTCGATGTGACATGCATTTCCCATTTGCGCCACTACCTCCTGTTAAATGGTATTGATTTACGCCGAGATGAATCATGCACTGACATAGTTGATTTAGACTGCGATACCGTTCCTAATAGGAACCAAATTCGACACTTTCTCAACGTTCCCTCGAGACGAACAGGAGGAGATTACAAAGCAGGTGCTTGACATACGTCTCTCTTATGCATCGATGTTGATGACTCGTCACAGGCAAAACGCTTCGCAAAGGCGATGCATGCCTCGCTAATATTCTGCTCAACCTCGGCCTCGATCAACGTGCAGAAGATATTCAAGATCGTGCTTGCGAAGGCGTTCGATCTTAAATGCGTCATTCCAGAAATTGACGGTGTTGGTGAGCCGGTATTGATGTACGTCGACATATAGCATGCCCGTTCGGAGGGACAATTCTGGCCGCTTTGCCATGTTTGCACCGGCCATCCGTCATATCGGCTCTGTGGGGAGATTGTATGGGATGGAACGTGGAAAAAGAAATAGAGGTGTGCATTGTTGTCTGGACTCTGCGCTTCCATGGTCTTAATTAGATGTTTTTTTACTATCTTTCGCCGCTGGAATAGGCCTGCATACAACCAGGCTGATGGTTCGACGCACGCAAGATGCTTGCTCGAGAAAGCGCCACAGGCGCACCACCGATGCGCGGTGTCATGGACGTTCATTCGTTATGTGACATTATAACCCTAATTCATTCTATCTTATCCCATACATACCCCCCACGCACCGTTCCCGTTCCCTTTTCCATTCGCCCCTCCGTCTGCGTCCTCGTCTTCCCTATCCTGGTTGCCTCTCGGCTCTCTGTTGCTTCATTGGTTAACTGACTCCCTCCACGTGTCTTACATCCACACTTGTCTTCCTGTTGTCGCTTTGTTCTTCCAATTGCTGCATATTCTATGTCCCACGCCTATCCCGCTCGTCGTCTGCATACATATATAATGCCATCCTGCTCGCCTATGCACAATCAATTTATCATGTAGACGCTGGACTGCCGGTCGCACGACTCCCACTTCATCGATGTTGTGGCGCCGATGCAAATACCGATGTCTACAAGATGCCAAGATGCCAAGATGCCATAGTGCCCGCGAGCAATTGTGACACTGGAATTGTACAAATGGATGGGAAGAGATCTACCTACAGACCACTAATAATGAATATGTATCATACACACGGGAATCAAATCCAGACATCAGAAGTACCAGCAAGATGGGATAATTAAACAGATGAGTACAAACGTCCATATAAGAACGTACGTATCATGAGAAGGCAACCGAGGAACCACCGGCGACGATGGAGAAGGACGAGGTGAGTTCATGATAGGAAGAGGCATGGCTTGCCTACAAAGATATGCATGTATATACACGATGCCGCTAGACCATAATACGAAAGGCACTGGGCATCTGCGGCGCAGTTTGAGATGAGCAAAGATAGCAATTTCAGAGAACTCACCGCATGGCACAACCACGCAAAACACAACATCGGAACTATGCAACTGCACGGCGTTTGCGCTTCCCGTGGGCAGCTTCGCCCACATTCCCGGTACTGCCATCGCTCCCACCTTCTCCGCTGCCTTCTTCCTCGCCATCAGAAAATTCTCCAGACCCGTCAGCATACGCAGATCCAGGCGCCGGGACAGGGACGGGCACAGGTGACACTGACGACTCTCGAATTGGCACCCTCTCGTTCCAATCCACCACGGGCGAGCCTTCAGGAAGTGGAGGTAGATGGAACACGTCTTCCATCTCCTCATCGATGTCTTCCACAACTTCGGGGGCGTCGAGTGGGGATAGGTACGTACTTGTAGTGACACCAGGCATTCTGCGCCCGCGGAGAGAAGATCCCAGACGAGACATCCCGGTGTCCGGCTCCACTTCTGTCTCTGCCCCTTGGTCCCTGTCTCTGTCCCGTTCGCGCTCCCGCTCCCGGCTACTCGAGTCACCTGCGTTTGGCCGATCCGATGGAGGCAGGACGGCGACTGCCGATGCAATTGCGGCAGAGACGTCGGCCGCCGAATCTGTATCCACCTCGCCCTCGATCTCTACTTCGACATCCTCTTCCAGATTGGCGAATGTGCGACAGAGCGGGCACGAGAACGCTGGGTGGTGTGTTTCGAGCAGTGGCCGAATGCATTTGAAGTGGAATGCGTGTGAGCAGGGCGCAATGAAGAGTGCTTGATTGATCGTCACTCCGAATAGACAGATACAGCAGTCGGGCAGCGCGGACTTGGGTGCCGTCTTCCTGTCTGTAACTGCACCAGCAATCGCCTTCAGCTGCTTCAAAGCATTTGCACTGCGTAGGTAAAGTCATTTTATAGCACACGCACTACGATCAATAGATAGACATTTACTTGAACGGATTTGTCTGAGCTTGCCACTCGCGACCCATCTCAATCTTGATCTTGACACACTTGTAGATATCCTCGTTACCGCCCTGATAGTCCACACCGAGCTGGAGTAAGTCTCCATCCCGGAGTTCACTTGGCCGCGACTCTGTATTAGCCGGCGAGAGGCGGACGTGATTGAGGAACGTCCCACTGCTCGATTTGGTGTCTTTGATGAAGAAACGTCCGCCCGACTCGACCCAGATTTCCGCATGGGCTCGAGAGACAACTTTGCTCTTGAATGCGAGCTTGTTGGAGCCAAGTGCATTCGCCGCCGCCAGTCCCAGTCCAGAGCGATCAGTGAAGCGCCCTATTCGCAGAGCAGGATCACCCTCGCGGACGTCTCGGCAGATCGGGTCAAACCTCAGCGAGCTGCGCGAGGCCAGATGAGGGACAAGCCTGATACGATGTGACTGCAAAGCTCCCGTTCCAGCCGTCGATGTCGGGGCTGCCACGGCCGTCCGCGCCACAGCGACGACGGGGACCTGGGGGGTGGTGGTGTTGGCAAGCGTACCTGCGGATCGTCTGCGGCGAAGCATTTGAGAGAGGCCTGGCCCTGAATTTGATTGGGATATTGATGTTTGCAGGTTGGGGGCCGCTGCTCGTCGTCGGTGGCCTGATGTGGACTCGGATGGTGGGAGCACGAGGGGTGGGGATTCTCTGTTTGCGCCTGACTCGTGGAGAGGTGGAGGAGATGGGTGCGACTGCGACGTGCCGCGAGGTCTTCCACGCAGAAAACTGCCTAGAATCGATTGTCTTGCTGCTGGCGATTCCCCTATTGTTAATGGGTCCATCGATGGTCGTTGTCGTCGTCGCTGTTGTTGACGAAGCTGGCTATGTTATAACAGACGCCTGGTCAGCCACATAGACGCACCTGGTTAAATTTGTCTCTAGCTGGAGCTCTGACGGCGCCGTTGGCAGCGAGCCTTCAAAAATTTAATCTTCCGCTCCTCAGGCGTTTGTTCAATACCGGATTTCTAAGCAGAGGCTGCGACGTAGGGAGCACGGAACAAGTACAGCTATGTGAGCTAGGAGCACTGCAGACTTGTTTTCCGAATTGATCCAATTATGTGTGATGCGCTTCAGTGTAATTCCTAAGTTATCCATGTAGGGTAGTGTAAACTAGTATGCTACATTTTTGTGCAGAAAATGTTAGCTAATGCAGTCTTCAGCGCCTTTGGTCGCGACTTTTTTGATGGTCGAGCTCCCGTCGCTGGCAACACTCTGTCTATCAGAAAGTGCCCCTAGCTAGAAGTCAATCATGCTACATAAGTTATGCAAAACGATCAGATTGAATGTACGTGCCTTTGCATTATCGCAGGAAACACAGCCTGTATGTGTCCGACGTCGCTCGGAGAATGAATGCAGTCTTTTTATTATTATTAATCCCAGGTTTAAACACCATACCGTAAGGCACATGCAGAGTGTGGAGAAAGTCTTATCTGCGGGACGGTAGTCATCTCGATTCGTCTTCCTGATCCGCCATCGAATTATCCAGAGGGGGATACATTTCCACCCATGAGGTCGCTATGCTCCTGAACGAGATGGTCGACGTTCTGCATGTCCGCAATAAATGCGGGAGGGGGGTAAGTCGGGGTCTGGTGCTTCCATGTCTCCACCAATCGAGTTGCCGCACGACCGGCATTATAATCGAATGAATGCAGTCGGAGACCTCTGCATGTCTTACAAGGTCTCCATCTTGAAAAACCTGTCTGTCCACTTCTATTAGGTCTCTGGAGCATAGGAAAGTCACGAGTTGACGGTGCGGTGATTTTTGCTACCTGCTCATCCTGCTAAGGTATTGCAGAACGGGTTAGCCCAAATCATGTCTACGATGTACCTATGGTACGATGACAGCTGCTGATATCGGCCGTTGCATGTCGCAAAGTCTTCCGTATAGGACGGCATGACACTCGCTACCAAAGTTTGGGCTGGATGCACACCGCCTTATGCCTTCCTTCCAGCTGCTGCTGCTGGTGCTGCTAGTGAGCTTGGGGTGTGCCAGTCCAATTTTCCAATGTTTAGTATTGGTCTAGTAGCCAGCGCTCTCACCAATGGCAAATAACGTGCGTATGTCGTGCTCACCTTCAATTTCTACCGGTGTGGATCTTATGAGCACCAAGGCCCAGACTGTGCTTCAAGGCTGGGAAATCTGGAGGCGGGCACTATTTTTCTGTCTATCCCATCACAGGTGGTCGACGAATTCGTATGCGATCTTCAACGCGGTTGGAAGTTATGACAGGGATCATAAACGCTTGTCAAGATTTCAAGATATTTGTGTTTGGGTGACCGAGACCACTGCAAGAAAGCACTTTTTCATGGTATTGAAACTTTTTGCATTCCACCGAGTCCTGATCCAGAGTCTCGTACAGCACGATATCTCTTGAAATGTAAGTGAAATAATCTGTAACCGAATGTCATTGAAGCTTACTGTTCCTCCCGCGACAGAACTTTGCCATCCAGCGCGTTTCGATCAATGTAATCCGGAATGCCTGCATATCGTCGTATTCCGCGATTCATGCCTAAGCCGACGAAGTCCTGTGGGTGCTGGAGAGGCAGGACAGATTCAACCTCCGTTAACGCGTCGAGTTGACTCCTCGCTAATGCGTGTGGCAGGTCGCAATAAATCGATCACGCGACCGCGACGAAGTGCAAACCGCGACGCGTCGTGTTCATGAACTTGTGGCCTTGAGGTTATAAAAGGTCGACCTGACCTGCCACGTCCTCTTCCACATAAAACCATCTGTTCATTCCACACTCCACCCAGCGGTCAAAGCGCTGCTCAATTTCTTCCAAGCTACCTTATTTTCTCCCCACAACGTGTTTAACATGGTGGACTCCAGTGCATTTTCTTTGTACGTTGCCACCCGTGCGCATCCGGGGCCTTGCTGATGCCAATTTTACCCCGTCTCTCTTTCATAGCTTCTTCCCAAGTAGCTCTTCCTCAAAGTCCGAAAGTCAAGAGCACCCCGCACTACCCCTTCCCCAGCCTGATCTTTCTGATCCGTGGCAATCTGAACAGCAGTCAACGACCATCAACGAGTTTCTCTCCGAATGGCACTTGTATTTCTCCTCTCAACCTTCGCTCCAATATGTCCATTCAGAGAGCCAGCCCTTGCCATTGCTTTTGGCTGGACAAACGAATGTTGGCGAGAATGCAAGCATGGAACCACATTTTGACCAGAGGGAATCATTCGCCCCCCAGGTTGAACTAGGACATATTCCCATACCAACTCACCTTGGCTTTCCGAACCCCAATATTCCTGATAGCAGTATGCTACCGTTGCAGCCATCCGCCTACACCGACTCTTCGTTGAATAACCCCGATCCACTGCTCTGCATCCAACCCTGGCTTTTACACGCCGATAACACGAACATATCGTCACCCCCGAGTGGAATGTGTGTTTCTCAACACGTACACACGCCTGTTGCCGACTCTCAAACGCTACCCTCCCCAGTGTCTGAGGATGCTCCTTCTGCCCCGGCTAGTCATAGCCCCACTCCACGTCCTGCAAAGCGTCGTCGTGACGCGGCCTACGCAGCACCTACGTCGCCTTCTCCTAGGCCAGCTAAAAGGCTCAAAATCGCAGGCCGCCGCCCAGCCCCGAAAACACATCACATAAAGAATTGGATCGAGGTAATTTCGCCGCCGCCGTCATCGTTTGTATGCAGGATATGTCCCGAGCCCCAAAGTGCAGGGAAATGTTCAGGGACGATGGTTACGGAGCGCCAAGCAGTGCGCGACCATCTCAAGTCCTGCCGACCAGTCGCAAAGTTAAAAGACATACGGTGCAACTGGGACCTCGGCAACGGAAAGCTCTGTACCAAGACGCTGAGGAGTGATAGTTATATCCGACACATCCTTTCTTGCCACAGCCCTGCTAGTGTTGACGATTGTCCCACCAAATTGCTATGCAGGGGATGTGGATGGCAAGGGTTCGGACGGCTTGATCAAGGGTACCGTCACGTTAGGGACTCCTGCAAAGTCTATCAGCTCATAATGCTGACTGAAGCCAGCGGCTCTGCATGATTTTTCCGGCTTTCTTATGCTCTCCCAAAATCTTCGTGGATCGCATGTTCCTCTCGTCGGTATCATGCATCGTCCCGATGTTTCCATACAACTCTAGAGTTCCGTATCAATCCTGTATCCCGCTCTCCTTGCCTTGCGTCTGTAATCCTGTATTCTTGTGTATTCTACTCAGGTTCCACCTGCAGCATTTATATAAATTATTTTAAATCCCATCTTCAAATCCCATCTTTCCGGCATCTCCGCAGCCAACGGTCTTCTTTGTGCTGCATCATGTGCCAATTGTCTGTATGGTCGCATCGGTGTACCGGCGAACTGATATTGAGCTATGATACCCGATATTTTTCAGTAAGAACGCTCCAGGACGCTGTCGCTCAAGCTAGGGCCAAGGGCCGATCGAGACGCACGGTGTCTCCAACCCACAGCTACCTTAGTCGTGGATCATGCAGGAGTTATAGGTATATGTACAAACGGCAAGAAGTCTCATTATTGTACATACGACTCAAGTAGGAGATTCATCGTGCACTTTGTTCATTCTAATGATAAACTATCACAGATCCCGGGGCCAGTTGCCGGAGAGACAGATCATACCGCCACCTACGATACCACATGCCAGTCTGGTCGAACTCGTCATCGGTCAAAGGACAATCTCCGACGTGCCCTGCATGCAGAACACAGTATACCTCAGGAACTCAAACGGCCGTCTGGGGCAAGATATGTGTGATCAAGAATGCGCCAGCGCGTCCGTCGACATTGCTCTAATGGATACGCATTAAGTGATATCGACGAGAAAGTAGAAAAACCCCGGGATTAGATTGCGAAATCCAGGTCGTGAGCAAGCTATGAGCGTCACTTCTTATGATAGTTCACATCAATAGATACAGTTGCCCTATAACATAGGTGAGGTGAGTACAAGCAGAATCGAGGGCGCATTCTAGGTCAGCCCAGAGTGTACATAATGAATTACTCACACGAGCCGTCCACTGGAATGCAGCGCTGGAAGCTTTGAGGAAAGTTGGCTTTTCCAGGAGCTCTCGGATATCACTTCCATCACCTTGCTGTGCGGGATGTTGTAGAAGTCGAGATGAAAGACGACCTTTTGCAGAGCAGGATATTGGCGGCCGAGGAGGATCTGGTCGACCAGCGCATAGCAGTCATTGTCGATTTTGTCAAGCGCGTCCTCAACAAGCGACGATTTGGGATTATAGTCAGAGAAGACGAGCCTGACTTCGATCAGGTTGGCAAGAGACGTGCGAGAAAAAGTACTTGCTACTCTGGCTAAGTTTTTGAGCTCAAGATCGAACGATATCACACGTAGGTTGACAGCTGGTGTGAAATCAAATGGGTTGGCTACAGGAAAATCTGGAAGATGTAAATGAACGTTGCACCATATCGATAACAAACAACCTTGGCGACGTACAAGCATTGGGAACATGATACAGTAACCTTATGCGCAGGGACGAGAGAGACTCGGCGAGAGCAACGAGCAGCCTTGTCCAACTCTCCCCGGAGTAGCCTTCAGCGCCGGAAAGACGGTGAATGTGTACGCCGGCCAACGGGAGAAAGTCCATGACATCATCGCTATAAAACAGATCAACGGTGTCGAATCGGAGAGAATAAGGCGCTCGGGCCGTGCCCGCGGCATCGCACTCCTTTTTGAACCGCACCTGATAGCATGTAAGGGAAGAGAGGAGGGGGAGCGCACGAAGAAGCCGCCTAAACACCACCGCAGAGGGGAATTCCACATGGTCGAGATCGAGCGTAGTGACGGATCCAAATGCGAGAGTTATATGAAGAAATACCTGCGTGTGTAGCTGCTCAGCCACCCAGGAACAGTGCCAAAATCGGAGTAGCTCAACGCGGGGCAGCTTGCATGCCATGCACGCCGCAAACGACCCAAAATTGCCGATGAACTTGTCAAGAGAGTGGAATGAGACCTTCTTGATAGTACGGCATCGTTCGGGGTGCTCGCACAATGCGTTGATCAGCGAATACATATGCGTCTTGTCCGTCCTGTCCCTCCTCTTCACACAGAGCATCTCCTGTGCACGAAAGCTGCATCGGGAACGCCATCCCCGACACTCTCCCCAGCTCCCGAAGTTGGACTTCATACGTCCGCGACCCGTTCGGATAGGCGTACTTCCAATCGTCTGCCACATGGTCAATAATCTTCTCCCATAATTCGACCGGGAGTTGGATCGGACGCTCGAGAAGCACGTTAGATTCCGGTACAGCAATCGTCGGGATAGACCCGAACGACTGCGTTGTGCTGTCTGCTCCTGTGAAGTTAATAATCATGCATAACGCAAATAAAGCACACACTCACGGTCTCTATTTGCACTACAAATCCCCCCTACTACAACTTCTGGTCCAGGCAGCCATTCGTCGTCTCGTATACTAGGAAGAGGGGGAATCGCAGGAGGAGGCAGCATCCGCAGATAGTGGGTGAGAGGAGGATGTAACACCTTAGGCCCACAATGGATTCAGAAACAGCACAATGTACACAGCACACCCTCGAGCATGTATCCGATTGTGGATACGTGTGAATTCTATAGCGCCAATGCACTGCACTGCACAAGCACCGCAGCGCGTGCATCTTGGCATGTGAACCCTGTATGGCCGTTCGCGATGACATGTTCCGCCTTCTCCGCGAGGAATTCAGGTGTGTCGTACGAGACCAGCTTCATCTTCGTTGAGTCGTAGGAATAGCTCGCTATGTCCGTGCAGTTCTCGTGTATCTAGCAGAGCGCGCGTCGGCGCCCAATCGAGTGACAGGGCTCTTACAGCGGGGTGTGGACGGACCGTCCCTCCAGATCACTGCAGGAGTAGATCCCGGACCCAGGCCAACCTATGTATCGTCTCCCACATCAATGTATAGCTCCTCTCGCCCAAAAATGCATTCACTCACCCCATTGTATGGCGTGTCCGGTGCACCAATACGCGTCGTCTCGAACGCATGGCCACACAGCAGATACCTCCAGAACGCCGACACAGGTCGGCTGATTCTCGCGTTGTGCAGAGATGCAACGTGACTCAATCGCGATCGAGCCCCTGGCGGAGAACGGCTACGATCTAATGCTCACGAACACGTCTGCAGACAAGGCAATCGAGTGCATGGCCGTCCTCCTCGCACACCAAGAGTCGTCATGTAAGGCTTTCCGACGAGATACTATGTCAGGTGGTATCTCACGAATGGAACGACCGCGAGCAAGATCAGCACGAGTACGCTACTGCTGTCGTCCATCTCCCTCTGCATAGCGCGTCTCATCACGTCGCGCACTTTGGAATAGACACAAGTCTGTTAGATGCAAGGGCCGGATTACATTTGAGAGGAACTCAATATCCTTAGCCACACATCAGTACAGTCGTTCCCTCGCCGCTCTAGAGGGAACACAATATGAGAAGTGCAGGCGGGTGGGAAGGCGAGGCGCACCATCATAAGGTTTCGCCAAGAGCACCGACAAGATAGCCACCCAGTTACACAGGACGACACTTATCCTGCGCCGAGCATTATATTTGGATTACGCTCATATATATGGACCTGCACGGTCGACCGGTCGATCCAACATTGTCGGTGTTCTCGTTGATGTACTTTCAGTCTGGAATCCCGTCAGTCAGATCCCCACGCCCAACATAATCAATGATAAATTTTGCTGGATCTTGGCGGGATGCACCGAGTACGTGCTGAGAATGCTGTTGGGGAATAAGTTGGGCAAAACTGAGAAGCAGTGGACAAGTGAGAATGAATATGATGACGGCTAGGGCGCGGCGCGTCAGTGGCGTGGGCATGCGATAGCTAAGGAAGAAAACCTACATTAGCGCTCAATGGTATTCTCTGTGTCTCTGAAATGAACGTCCGAAGACAATTTTGCTCTTCGAGCCCTGCCTTGTGCAGCTCAATTTGTGACGGTAGTGTTGCGATGCATGGCTGTGTGCGTGCTAAGGTGGTGTGCAACTATTCACTTGGATTAACTTCAGCATGATAAAGTTTGATAGACAATAAAAGCGTGATGCAGACGGGCCCGGTGTATATGCACCTCCCTCGAGCCCACCATATCATCCCGATCACCATCCCTCACCGGCGTTCCCAGTGAAGAACCGCTGATGAAGCTTGAGGCCGAGGCAGAAGAGATGTGTGGTGGAAACGGAGACAGTGAGTGCGTGCGCCAACTACAATATGCATCATCGTTGGACTTTGCAGGAGCAGACGACAAAGCTGAATCCTCTGGGTCTATCGCAAAGATGACTCCATCGGAAGCTAGCATGACTCTTGAGCATTCTATCCAGCTGCCAATTGAACTGTGGGAGAAAGTGATTGACCACTTGGTGGACGACGACATACACGACAGAGCCCCCCGAAAACGAGAGCTGGAGAGGGTGTGTCGTGGGTGGCATGCCCGATGCCGCTTTCGTGATCGCGAGTTGCTGTATGTTTGGGACATGGACAAACACCAGATGTATCGTTTGATCAACATACTACGCGAAAGCCCCGAGCGATGCCGCGCCATCAAGAGGGTCTCATTCAGGCTGGGTTACGGGTCGGCCTGCAACGTTGGGTTGTTTGCTGTGTGCATGGCACAGAAACTGCCCCGAGCCGAGTCGCTCAGGCTCGTCGGTATCAATTGGAAACCCGAGCAGCTGCACCCGCAGGTGTTTGTCCATGTGACTCTCGCATTCGAGTCGGTTACAATGCTCGAGCTCTCCAGTACGATGTTTCCTTCTGCGCTGGTTTTTGGGCGGCTTGTGCGAGCGCTCCCCCGCCTCTCTGTCCTCGACTGCTATGATGTTAACTTTGAGAAGCACTGTGATGTTGCGAGCCGAATCTGGGAGCGGCATCCCCTCTGGCTCGACACCGCCAACCTCCAAGTCAGCGATGACGTCGTCGGCTTTCTGGTGACGATCGGCGTACGTGTCCGCCAGCTCTCCTGCTATGTGATTGATCTGGAAAGGTTGTCGGAGCTGGTCACGGTCTCTGCCGAGTCGCTCTCGTCCCTAGAGGTCACGTTTACTCAATGTATGTCGCCGAGCTCGTTTGTTGATCGCAGTGCGGGATTGGCTGATGTCTTCCAGATGTTCCTCCAGATCCTCTAGTGGATCTCACGCTAGCTGCCAACTTACACGTCCTGTCCTTTGATTTCTTTGACATTGTACGCCTGGGCCAGGCAGCAAGCATCTTGTCTTGCGCGTCTCTTCCCAAGCTCAAAGGACTCAGATTTAATTCAAGCTCAATGTTCGATAGTACCGCATCCTTTGTCCAGGACAAACTTGATCAAGTCGGCCAGGACTCGTATGCGCGGATCGACCAGACACTCTCCGGTCGTCAATATCCCGCCCTGCAAAAGGTCACCTTCCAGATCCAGTGTAGGGCTCCGCGCAGCAGAGTGTTGGATGTGATATCCGAGGTCTCCTTGGCCCGTCTACTCTCGTCGAGGTTTCCCGCCCTGCATGCCAGCGGACGACTCGTGTGAGTGACTCACCGCATACACCGCATTGGCTCCGAATTTCAAATCCACTTACCCAGTGCATTCCAGGTCTTCTGTGTCTGTTCAGGTATACAATGAGTGGAGATAATGCTCAGTCATTCCCGGTCACTCGTTGCTTCCTCCACCATGGTAGCATCATTCCGTTTGCTCATTGTAGCACTGCTGGCTCGTGCACGCTTCGACGTATCCTTCTCTCACCAATCTCGCCCCTAACAGCCGTTCAAATGCCCAAAAATGTACATTAAGTTCCCGATGGACACTACGCCAAATCATGTGTGCGTATAACAAAGCGTTGGCGGGAGAATATTTGTCCTCCAGCACTCAGCGTTCCTCCCCGCCGCTGTAGGTCCCGACACCCCGTGCAAAGACGTCCTCAGTGCACGTCCGCCCGCTGAGTGCGACAAAAAGACTGGCCCAAATCACCCGGGGTATCCCCAGGCATTCACCGCTCCGCCGTCCAGAGGTCTCCGCCTGCAGTGCGCGCTGTTGCCGTGTCACTCCCTATGATCAATCCTGCCCGCGAGGAGATGCCTGCGTACTGCCTCCGCATTGTAGTCCCGCGCTTTCCGGACCTCATGGACGAGCTGACAAACTGACACATCCGCTTCAACAAAAGATGCCTGAAGGGCGACGACGCCAAAGAGATCGTGGAAGATTTACACGCTTTGCTGGTCTTCCACCCGACAAGAGCTACATGCCTCGCAGAGCTCGCTCAACGATGCGGACGAGGCGTGACGAAACGGAGGATGGTGACTTGCCGCCGGTCACTATCCTACGCTCTCCAGTCCTGTAGTTGTGCCCACCACCCGGGCCATGGCGTCTGTCAGATGACGACTCCAATGCAACCTCGTCTCAAGGAGACGGGAATTTCCATATCCGGTACCCGGCGCGCAGATGAGCGCCCGGGGCGATTAGACCTCTGATAGATGCGACTAGTCATCGAACGGGGCAATTCTGGATGGGTAGAACGCGGATCATGAGGAGAGAACGATATTATCTAACAACATGGACCATATGAGAAAAGTATGTGGAGGGTGACAATTGGGAAAGATGTTCGTCCATGATAACAGACCGTCGCTTCTACTAAGCAAGTGAACTCAGACCTTGGCTCGAAATTCCCTGCTGAATCTCAAACGCACGGGCACGAGCAGCATGGCCGCGCAAATAGATACAAGGCCG